AAGTATTGATGATAACATGCGATTCCGAATTCGAGGACGAATTCTTTTTAAGGGGGGAGGATTTGTAATACCCCGAAACCCGATTTGAATATCTAATTATTAAAAATGAATAATTAAATAGAGATATCACGAAATCACTAAAAGTGATGGTACAATATCGGGGAGAGGCACGAGGATCGTCACGTGCGGAAAGGACTGAGAAAGAATGAAGAAAAGGAAAAGAAAAGAAAAAATAAATAAAATACAGGGTTGGTCCGCCGGACCAGGAATGGTCCGCGGCGGACCAACCGCTCAGTCGGAGTGGGAACAGACGCGCGGACTGGGAGGAGAATTTCAAAAAAAAAAAAACTGACCCCGGTCCGGCGGACCAGGAAGTTGGTCCGGCGGACCGGGAATAACAGATTCCGCAACTTGTCAACTTGCCACCTTGGGACGCGGAATTCGCCGGATTTCGGGGCCCGCTTGCCGTCCAGCCGCCTCCCACACCTCGAGGACGTTGCAGGCTCGCCTATGGGCTTGGGCTTGAGCCCACGAACTCCCTCTCTCGCGGCTGGGACTTAGGCATTTTTCGGACAGAAACAGAGGAAGAAGGAAAAGGGGAGAAATGGAGAGAAAGGGGACGAACCAGTGCAAGGGGAGCTCGGGGAGACCAAGAGGGATGTGCCCAGACGTGTCCCGAAGCTTCTCACGTCGTGTGGAGCCACGAGGAACGCACATTTTTACTTAAAAATAAATTAAATTGATAATATTTATATTTTAAATTAATTAGTAAATAGTTTTTATCAAATGATATTAAAATTTTAATTAAAACTATTATAAAAAATATATTTTAAAATAATATTTTTTTTCATAATTTATATCAAACGCAATCGCAATCGCAACCGCAATGAACCATTCACTTCCAACCGCACCCACCCGCAATTGCTGTCAACAACAACTTATCAGGGTTCGGCTGGTTGTACCGCAGCGATTGCGGTTGCGGGTGGCAGCGTAACCGATCTTTTAGAAATTAGATTCGCTCTTGAGATCACAAGAAACCCAACAGGATTGACATGTAAATACCACATAATATTTTTCGACATATCAGCAATTGTATTTTTTATTTTTTAAATATAAAATTAAAAAAGAGAATATCTCAAAATAATATTTGAATTTCTCAATTTTCATAAAATAAAACATAAATTTGTTTTATATTTAAAAATTTAGAAATTAGATTCGCTCTTGAGATCACAAGAAACCCAACAGGATTGACATGTAAATACCACATAATATTTTTCGACATATCAGCAATTGTATTTTTTATTTTTTAAATATAAAATTAAAAAAGAGAATATCTCAAAATAATATTTGAATTTCTCAATTTTCATAAAATAAAACATAAATTTGTTTTATATTTAAAAAATAAAAAATTATAATTACTGATGTGTCGAAAAATACTATGTGGCATTTAATGTCAATCCAAATTAAACTACAATTTTGACATGTCAATAATCAGAATACCAGTATTCATGGTCAAATATAATACGAATATGCAAGTTCACGATTTATTAGAGGATATCAAGAATTTGGGTATTAATCTTCCAAAATTAAAAAGTTAAGATTTTTTTTTCATTTTCCATATCCATATTAATAGAATATTTGATATTTTTAATTAAAGATAAAATTATAAAAATCAGTTAAAAAATCTAAAATGACAACTATTTAGAAAAAAAAAGTAATCTCTAAAACTTTAGACATTCATATTGTAACTTTTTTTCTTTGCAATGCTATATTTTCGTTTGCTTTTTCCGCATGATATAATTTGGTCTAGGGTACACCCACGACATTGTACACAAAGAAAATACCACAAGACCTAATTTTGGAGGAAAATCAAATCAGCATTGGATTCTATTCAATGTGTAAAAAAAAAACAAGTTAAAAGCTAAATGGCATCAAATGGGAAACTATACATCTAACACTAAAACTCATTAAAAGCACAACACTTTGACCTTATCCCTCTGTTTCCCTCAGCTGTTCCTTCCTGAGCAAGAAATAGTTAGCTGGGTCTCTGTGATACATGATGAATCTCTAAGCCATGAATAACGTACCTCGTTTCGGCCTGACAACCTCAGAAAACATGCCGGTAGGGGCTTAGCTCCTTGATGTTTTTTGTATTTGAAGATCAACTTGCTAGGGCTTGATACTCGAAAGCAGAGATCGGAAGGAAGCTGACGCGGTTACACTGTTTTAACCGAGCCACAGCTTCATGTGATTTACCGAGCATCAGGTCGATGTAGATCCCCGTAAGAGCAGCTTGTAAGTTGTTTGGTAAGAGGGACAATGCCTCTGCTACCAAATGCTGGGCACGGTCAAGCTCTCCTTGTGTTGCGAGCAGGACAGCGAGGTTTGCGTAAAGTGTCCCACGAGCTTCTTTTGGTTTGAGGAAGACAGCTTCTTGCGTTTCTCCGACGGGAGAAGAGTCCTTCGGCTCTTCAGAATCGACGTTTCTGTGAATGCACCATTGATCAAGGTCCTCCTGTGGGAATGGGAGTTTGAAACCGTCCTGTCTGTGCAGATAGACTGATAACTGTCCACCCGCGTCTTCTGTTCTGTTCAGTAAGCAGAGAGCCTCCGCCGCATAGATATGACCCAGGAAGAGATAAATCTTGGAACAATCCGGAATTTCCAAGAGGGATTTCGCTGCTGACAAGGCCTTGACGGGATTTTCCAATTCCAATTCAACGAACGCCATATTCGCCAGGAGGGCTTGCCTGATCATGTGATTTTCCCAAGCACGGGCATCCTTGTAAAACGAAAGGGAGTTCTGAATCATGTCTTGGTTCAATCCTCCTTTTGCCTCTTTCGTGTCAGTGTTCTTGGAGGACACACCCGTTGGATCTGATGATGATTCTTCCATGGACTCATTCGTCGCCAAGGATGATACTACCTGAAGTTCTGATTTAGAGTCATTCAAGTTGGACTTGTTCAGCAAATACAATGCATTTGAGAGACAACGCCGAGCCCAGGGCAACGAAAGCTTTGGCCAATGTGCTCGTTTTCTTCCATCCGAAGCTGTCTCCATTTCCCTTTCCCAATAACATGAATTCTAATTTCCGATCTGTCCAAAGAAGAACTACCCCCTTCCAAAAGACCCTTCTGTAATGCCATCAGACAGCATTCAGCAATTACGGAGCCACAAGAGAGGTTGCCTGTTGAAAACCAGACTAGCCTTCTGGAAACACCGAGCTGCGAGTAGAGGTTTCCCACAAGCCAAGTAAAGCAATCCACAGTTATATGTCACCAACAGAGATTTATCCTGCGATAAAGATAATAACTTCACAGGCTTCTCCTTGCAAAGCGACGAACAAACACCCAGAGCCTTAGAAAATAATACGGAAGAAGTATGATATTTCCCGAGCTGATGGTATATGCAACCAAGGTTGTTGCTGAACATGCTTGAAGTCCCTGTTTCTGTATGAATACCAGAAGCCATCAACAGCTTAATAGCTTTCCGATGATGCCCACGAGCATATTCAAACTGGGATTTCAAGACAAGAGCCACAGATGAGTCCCTTCCTCGAGCGATGTTCATTGCATGTTTGACCTCCCGCTTCACTAGTTTCAAGTTTCTGGTGAGAAGCAAGAACCGGACCTTGTAAAGCTGCAACTCAAGCTTCAGATCGACAGTGGAGATCGACCGGTTACCTATGTCCTTGAAAAGATTGTTTGCAGGAAAATTGTCAACTGGCTTAGTTAGGTTTTGCGACCCAATTTCCTCAAGCACATTGTCGTATTCCAAAGTTTCCTCTGACAAACTTCTAGACAAAGTACTTCCGGCACCAGCTGAACCAGAATACGCAGAATCTGAGGCCAACGAGCTGCTCATGAGAGAGGATGTTTTCGGTACCTGGTTTGTAGAATTTCCATTTTCACCTTGAGTCCCACAACCAACACCATATGCTTTCTCCATACAGTGTAACACAGCCTGTGAATAACCATTTGCCAGAGACAAGGCCATAGATATCAAATATAGAGCTCTAAACCCATATCTACTGATTAATTGCACTCTATTCCAATATTCCAAGACGAATCAACAATAAAAACTTACCGCAAACTTTGCAGCATCACGACAGGCCAGCACAACATCCAGCAACAAAAAACAGATTTTAAGAGCAATCCTCTGCATATGAGGAGGAGGAAAAATTAAAACCAGTAGAATAAATTTGGCCCAAAAAAAAAAGAAGCGAGAATACCTCATCTACAGGTTTGATATTCTGAAACAAAGGTTCTAAAATGGACAACGCTTTTGAATATTCATGCAGATGAAACCAGGTAACAGCCTACACAGGAAAAAAATTACAAAATATATTCGAACTTCAGCAAGAAAAAGGGCCAAAAGAGTCTCGGACTTGGGAAAACATCAGAACGTACAATGTTGAGGAGTGTCACTGTATTATCAAGTTCCTCCTTGCAAACAGAGCTGCAATTCTGTCCAGCTAAGCTGCTATCTTTTCGCACCCCGGAATTATTTCCAGGGTTGGCAGTGTCAACTTGCTCGCTGGTTGCACGAGCAAGCTCTTTATTCTGCTTCTGAGGGAAATAGAAGGAAAGAAAAGTAGGAAACAGAGAGACAGTATCGACATCAAGACCGGAAGAAACTACTAACATAACTCTCTCACCCGTGTTTCCGACTTTCCGTACAAAGCCATAGTACAGAACTAGAAACTAGGAAGAGAAGGAGAAAGAATGGGAATTCAATTTACCAATCTAACTCTGTTATCATCGATCGAAATATGCTCAAGAAAACTATGACGCAAAAGAGCCAGTAAATGGTGAAGACAAAATGTGGATATCAAAGGAGAGAAAATAAATTGTGGATCAGAAAAAATGCCGATGAATATGGATTTACCCTAACAGACAGAAGCCCGAAAGGAAGGTTTTAACGCAATACCTTAACATGGTTAAGTGCTTCCAGTAGCTTCTTAGGGTTAGAGCAGCCATCTCTAAAGTACTCCGCAATTGCGATATTGTGAAGAACCTAAAGAAAATAACAATCACTTGATGAGTTCAAACCAAGCAAAATTCTAAACATCTACTATCATTTCAGATCAATGCCCTCAAATATCTATCATAAAAAAAACTATCTGGTTCATTGGCATAGCAGACAGAACTCCAGACAGTGACTGTTAACAAAAGTATTTATGTCTTAATTACATATGCTGCAGTTCTAAATTTGCTATACTAAATGAGCGACAAAGGGGCCTTGATTACATGAGATTAGCTAGCCTGATCGAAAACCCAGCTAAAATCTAAGATACCTAGGTGCTGAAATGACCGATGTGATCTCGCAATTCAGAAAGCAAATCATTTCAAGCATCTCTAAGATAATACCCCAGATTTCATGAGAAATCGCCACCAGCATTTACACAAACAGAACGAACTTGAAAGAAACAAACTAAGCGAATCACAAATCCGACCTAAAATCCAGTTCATAGAGAAACATCAATTCTAGGAATGTATAAAAAGGTGAAAATTGCGAGGATTGTCAATCCAAAGTGAGACCCAGTTGACTTAAATCCAAAAATGTAACATCTACGTAAAACCCATTATACACACATCAACGAAAGCCCACCTTGAGATCGTTCTCTTTCATCTGCTTGAGCTGATTCAGAACATCGATACACAGCGTATTTGCCAGACTGGAAATACAACACAGCGTCCTTAGCCAGTGCGGAGGTAACAGAGAGAACGGCGTCTTCGTCCAGAATCGAACGATATCTACCGGCGTCGGAGGCTGCAGCAGAGGAAGAATCTCGCGAATCCATAGCAGATCAAGCCAAATCCAAACCTCAGATAGGAAGCAAACCCCGCTCCAGCTTTCGAATGCGCGAAGATCGAAAACGGTTAGCGTTCCTTAAATCGTGCACTGAATTTCCAGGCAGAGGAGGCAATTGAGCACCAGAAATCGGAGAGCCCTAGGAATGTGAGGAATTTACAGAAGGAAAGCGAAGTAAGCAGAGGGAAGAAGAGGGAAACTTCACAGAAAAAAAAAAAGAAAAACTTCACAGACCCTTCATACGTGGCAATTCACTCAAATAAACCAAATGTGCCGCAACTATTTCATTGATACACCTTAAAAAAAATGATCAATTTATTTTATTTCTTATACACCTTTTTACACCTTTTTTTTAGTGAAATGAGTAACATATCCAACAATGTAAAATATCTCAAATACCCTTGTTCAACAATTTAAATAATTAAATTTCCAATTAAAATAGGAAAAATTTAAGGGAGAGTAAATGTTGAGCTTTCTCTCTCCTATCGTCATGATCCTTTCGAGTGGGTCCTTTCGGGTTCCACCATTGAAACTGTAGCATTGAGCTGAAGACAGTTGTTTCTGCGTGTTTTTATCTGTTTGAAGCCGAAATCAACCGGTATTGTACATTGGGATTAAAATCCATTGATTTTCAGTTATTATTTTATCCTATTTCTATTTTAGGGTTTCAGTTCTTTTTTGAAGAAATCCCTTGTAGTATTGGAAAATTTTTCTGTATTTATAGAAATATATACACAATGGGTTCGACTGGTTGTACCGCAGCGGTTGCGGTTGCGGATGACAGCGTTTTCAAAACGTTTGATAGCGATTATAAATGATTAGTACTGACTGGTTGAGAAGTTACTGTTGGTAGCGATTGCGGGTGGGTGCAGTTAGAAGTGAATGGTTTATTACGGTTGCGGTTGCGTTTTGATATAAATTGTCAAAAAAAAATATTATTTAAAAATAATTTTTTATAATAGTTTTAATTAATTTTTTCGTATCATTTGATAAAAATTATTTACTAAATTTATAATAATTAAATAATAAATTTAAAATATAAATATTATCAATTTAATTTATTTTTTAATAAAAAAATAATTTTATTATAAAAATTATTAAAAATAATCATTATTAAACTTAAAAATTATACTATTGTATTTTTTTATTTAAAATATAATACTAAAAAATAATATCAAATCATAATACTAAACAAAATCATCACCAATATATATATTAATGTTTTATATAATTTCTAATAAAAATATTTTAGTTTTTTTGTCAAAACGCCGGAAACCGCTACCAAAACGCAAGTTGGAAGCTGCGATTAGAAAACACAAGTTTGGTTGCGGTTGCGGTTGGTTGCGGTTCAACCAGTCAGTTTTTTAATCGCCCGCAACTGTCGGAAATCGCAACCGCTCCGTTTGCGGGTGGCGGCGGTGCAACCAGTCGCCCCCAATGTCGAACTAAAGTCGTAATGTAGTTGACCTATATTGACAACGATTATATTATTTCAATGTTTTGGATTTCGTTAGTCTGAGCATCTGATTTTGGTTGAAAAATAGACTCGTATTATAGTCGCATTTTTGTGATATTTTTTGCTGACAAGTTTTGTTACAATTTCAACAGGATGATGGATGGTGTAGAAGATTGTTACACATCTATTTCTGTTTGTCATGATGATATTTGGCAAATAAAAAATGATAATGGTCTATTTGGGGGTTGATAATAAAAGAAAGACAATATGTGTGTTCAATAAAGCAAGTAAAATCACACATGAGGAACTCATTCAAGCTGTATTTGGACAACTGTAAATTGATTCAGGAACAGTAAAGTTAAGCTTCGTACCTATGGTTGTTGATGGAAACCGACCGGAATATATATTGGATGATTTGAGGGTAAAATCATACATGTTTAGCAAAAATTTCGGTGAAATAGTTGTAGTTGTAGTTGGCACTTGAAATATAATTTCGGAAGACCGGTTTTTATGCCAAAATTACAAAGAATTTTAATATAGTATTATTTGCAACTTAATATTAATACTTGTCTTTGTCTGCCTGGTAGTCGTTGCCACTTGAAATTAGATAAGTGGTTATTGCATAGTCTTATGTACGAAGTAATACTGTACTTTGTATATTAGTCGGTAAATATAATTGAATGTACTCGTTTTATTGCAGAGTGATGCTCCACCGAGATCGGAATTTTATTATGATTTCGATGATATGAACAAAATTTCGGTGAAGTATTTTCCAAGTGTTTTCATATCGAAATATTGGGTTTTCTAGAAAAGCATTTGACCGAAGAAGAGATGAGGTATTTCACAGAAAAATCTCAGTTTAGACATCTATTTCATATGAAAAAGAAACGGTCTTTAAAGATGAGTCTAATGATAATGCTCATCAATCGTGCGGATAAGACAAAGAGGGAAAGTAAATTATGGTTCGTCATGAACGGAGTACCCATTAGATACTCTGTGTGGGAGCATACGATTCTTTATGGGTTAAAGTGTAGTAAATTGTCTGACGATTGGGAAACACTTGGAGGGACCAATTTGTATAGGAAATACTTTGGTCAAGAAAGCTTCGAAAAGGTTTGGAAATGTTTTCAAAGTTGCCTAAGGATGAATTAGAGGATAGATTGAAGATGACATATCGATTGCTACTAAGCTATGTCATAGGGCATCAAGATTCGGAGTTTGTTAATCATTTTTTGCTCAAGATAGTTGATGATGTGGAGGATTGTGAAGCATTCCCTTGGAGAACGTTCAACTTTCAGAATGTTTCTAGCAGTGTGCATAATTACTTGAACAAGCACATGAAACCGGTTAATCAGTGGAATTTACCAGGTTTCATAATTCCTCTCACGATAAGTGATTTAAATTAATTGATAAATGTGAGATATTGAGTAATACATTATTAATGTTTTGTAGTTGATATTGTAGATGTTACCATTTGAGTGCATTCCTAAACTTCGCAGTGGTAGATAGTACAGTGAGGTGAGACTGGAAGGGAATGTGATCAAGACATGTCCAAGAATGTGTAAAAGATGTTTCATCCCAAACAAAAAATATGGAATGAAACAAAGATTGACAAAGATTGGCAAGACACAGGTATGTTTTTTTTATGAAATATTAATAACGTAGCTGTTTTATAAGCGCTTTAAATTTTTGTTCATTCAATTGTTAGGACATTGAGAACTATCTACAGGCATCTGATGCTGAATTAGATCTGGTTAGGGACATGACAGAGAATGACAGAGAACCAGATGGCGTTATTGCAACAAAATCAACATATGCCAATTCCCATGTAGCTCTAGTGTAATATGGTGAACAATAGTCAAATAGTTTGTCTTTTTCACTGTGTTCATGCAACGCTTTTATTGCATGAGAACATGGGTATTTTTGAATGTCTCACACCTTATATTCGCAGCACTTCTCTAGATCAACGAAATATGTTTTTCCCTCGTCATCAGTCACTTCATATTCCTTCCAATTCCGATTTATCTCCCTCACAATAAATACCTTCGAAGTTCTATATTGTTGATGTAGTTTCTTGAAACATACGGTGTTAATTCTTGAGTACATGAAAATGTTCGGTTCATGCGCTTACACCACCACTCCATTGTTTTATTCACAATCGCATTAATCAAGCCGAGCAAAGGTAGTGTTCTCGCCTTCTTCAATACAGAATTGATAGACTCTACACCACTGGTTGTCAATAGGTTATACCTTTCTCTGAGAAAGTAACATCTCGCCCATTTCGTAGGTTCCACACTTTTGTTCAGATATTCAGCCACTGTGGGAAACCTGCATTTCAAATCACAATATGGTCACTTCTTACAATAAGCCAATAGAATTTATACAACTAGTAATACAAATCAGATTTCCATAACTCATACTTTTCAGTGAATTCCTCCCGTAATGCTTGGAACTCCTTCTCTGTATAACACTTTGCACATTTATAGAATAATCCAGCAACAGTTTCTCCTTGTTTCTTCTTTTTACCCTGTACTCCTTTATTCACCAACGTCTTGATACTCTGGGATATGTGATATGCACAATATGCATGTTTAGCTCTCCTATACACACTGCGAACAACATTTGCTATGCTTTGATGTCTATCCGAGATCACAACCATATCATCGCTATCCGAAATTATTTCAACCAACTTCATCATAAACCAATTCCAAGATTCATCATTTTCTGAATCAACTACGGCAAAAGCAAGGGGATATAAATGTCGATTTCCATCATGGGTTGTTGCGACAATCAAAAATTCTTTAAAAGTTGTTTTCAAAGATGTTGCATCTACTGCGATTACTTTTCGCATTGCAATCCACCCTCTAATACAAACATCCAAAGCAAAAAAGACATACTTAAAAGTTTGCTCGTCTTCTTTAAGGTGAATATGTGTAACCAGACCTTTATTTCTTTCCTTCAACATATGAAAATAGCTTGGAAGTCTCCTATAATTTTCGTCTGGGTTTCCCCAAACACCATCAATCGCATTTTGTCTCCCTCTCCATGTCGTTAGGTACGATATCTTGCACTAATAGACCAATGACATCACCCTTTCCACTCCTGGAAGATCAACTTGACCCACGTAATGGCGGTTCAAGTAATTAACAACTATATATATACATCTAACTCTTTCTTTCTCTTCTTGAAGTATAGGCGAGCATGTATGAACGTTAACGTGCTTCGTCACTACAAAACCCTGCGAATTCTTTTTATTTTAAATGCTCGCAGTCTCCACAAGCAACCTTTTTCTCGGAATCGACATCTTGCTCCCCATACATGTCGATCTGACTTGTAAACATAGTATTCGAAACATGAATCATGTGAAGCTTTCTTTACTTTCATTTTTAACTCGACCTTTTTCAGAAACTCGTTACCCACCGTAAAATCCAATATGTTTCAAGTGAGAAATCTTCACAACCATCATCACGTATTCGACCACCATTCTCAACTTCATTAACTAACTCTACTTCATCTATATTATTCATCTGGGTCGTAATTTCAACTCCAGTTTCGTTAGTCGTAGGTTCCAATTCATTGTCATGTCGTATGTCCTCATGCAAAGTTCGATACTCAACCCGACAAGAATCTTCAAACAATGTAACGTGATTATGTTCTCTATCTTCTCCATCTACTCTTCCTAACACACAATCCACAACTAAACCGCATGTCTTATATCTCTTCCTTCTTTGTCATTTGCAATATCTCCACCCTTAGCTTCACCAACACACGTATTACATTCAACACATTCG